AAAATGGAGGCGCTGAGGGACCTGGCCGACGACTTCAACGTGAGGGACCCGCGGAAGCTGTACCGACTTGCACGGCAGCGCGACCTCGTGGGCCGAGGGGCCGCTGCAGGCCGACCTCATCAACTTCAGCCAGAACACCCGGGGGAAGACAAGTCGGCCGGGCCACCAAGCGGGAGCTGACGGGGGACGACGGGAACTTCGTGGTCACGACAGACCTGGGCAACGAGTTCGCCACGCTGGACCGCCGTGCACCGCACGAAGCGGCCCGAGGACCGCAACGCCACGGCCGTGGTGGACCGGGGCATCCAGACGCTGAAGAAGGACCTGGCCGCGAGGGTGGCGCGCAAGGGCGGGCAGTGGAGCGACCACTTTGAGCGGGCGGCCGGGGCCTACAACGCCCGGCCGCACAAGACGGTGTACGGCGCGCCCGAGGACGTGGAGAAGCAGCCGGCCACCGAGTTCCGGCTGCTGCAGGACAACGCCGACAAGTTCCAGCACAACAATTCACGGACCGGCGCATCAAGGCGGTGGAGGACGCGGGCGCCTTCCGAGCGCCGACAAACGCGGCGAGGAGCTTCAACCCTCAGTACGGCGACGTGCAGCAGCTGCGGGCCGTGGACTCCATGACCGTCCGGAGCACGGAGGGCCGGGAGACCCTGCTGAAGCTGGCGCTGCCGGCGCCGCAGGGCAGCGGCAACGCGGCGGGCCGAACAAGACGGGGCAGGCCGGCGGCTGTGAGGCAGCTGGACGACTTTTTGAGGCCACGGACGAGGACGTGCGAGGCTACGGCGAGGCTACGGCGGAACCCGCTTCGTTGAGGACGACCTGGCAGGAGACCCCGAGGCCGGCGCCCTGACGAGCAACGGCCAGGGTCCGCCCTCCATCACGGAACGTCTGCGCAGCACGGCCGACGGCGCTCAGGCGGCAGCGGACCTCATAGGCGCAGGAGCAGCAGGGCTCGCAGCCGCGCAGGCCTTCCGCAGCTGCCCCAGGATGCGCCGCCTCCTGGACGAGGTGGGGCAGCGCGCGCAGGAAGTGGAGCGCGGCGCAGCGCAAGCTCTTCCGGCCTCAGCAGGGCAGCGAGGACGCGGCCGCGCAGGACGTCCGGCGCCTCCAAGGCCCAGGACAGTCGACTAGCCTCCTTTGCGAAAATTGGGGGCATTGCTCAGGCTGCGTCGGAATTGACTGAAGCCCCTTTTCGGGGAAAAAACATTTTGATCAGGCTCAGGCGGAGTTGCCTGATCCTGGTCGGGCCCTTTTTGGGTTATGGTTTGGGGTGCTCGGGAAACCAACGGGTTGGGCGAACCAGTATCAAACAAACGGGGCTGGCATGGGCAAACCGTGCGAAAAAAAAAACGTGCGAAACGAGCTATTAGCCTAGGCTGCACATAAATATACACCCTAGGCTAATAGCATTTTGTGGCGCAAAACCGTGCAAATGTCCCTGGGTTAGGGTTGTGCTCGGGAAACCAACGGGTTGGGCGGACCAGTATCAAACTCCAACAGGTTGGGCGAACCACCCAAAGCAGGTCGAAGCTGCCTGACAGGATTTTGAGGAGAGGGGCGAGACACCTGAGACAGCTGAGACACCCACTAAACCACGAACAGGAATGTCTCAGACGTGTCTCAGGTGTCTCAATCTTTGGCTGGCTGCCTTGTCATTGCTGAGACAGGTCTGAGACACGTTTGAGACACTCCTGTTCGTGGTTTAGTGGGTGTTTTACATGTCTCACGTGTCTCACCCATGTCTCGGACCTGTCTCAGGTCTGGCAAACCCTCGGCTGGCTGGCTGGGCGTGTCTCTGGGTCCCTGGCGAGCTGTGGGCATGGCCTGACACAGACCGAGAGAAAAAAAAACTCGAAAAAACGTCAGGCAATGTGGAGAAGAGATGCAACTGCGGTATGTTGTTTTTTCCATCTCTGTGCTCGATCGGGCAAACTGCGCAATGCCCCTTCGCCTTTGCAGGGCGGAAACTGTGCGACGCCCCTCTCACTTCACAAGGCGGATGAAGCTGTCGTTCAAGTCCTTCTTCCCCTCGGCGTCCTCGAATCAGATCCTCTTGCCGCAAACGGACGCGGCCTTGCTGCGGCGCTCCACCACGCCCGCACTCTTCAGCAGGTCGGGGACGTTGAGCTTCACTCGCTTGCCCGGCTACTCCACCTCGTGCTCCTGCCGCGTCGCTTTGATGAAGGATTCGCAGGCCCCTCCCTACTGTCCGCACTCGAGGCGCCGGGGGCTCTCTCCGTCTTGGTGGACAGGAAGGACTTCACCAAGTCGCCCACCTCGTCCTTCACCTCCATCTTCAGCAGGGCCAGGCATTTCGTGGGAATCGGGCCGATGGAGCGCATGGGCCTGTCCTTCAAAAGGTGCTTGTAGACCATGTACAGGATCGCGAAGAAGGAGGGTGTGGTGGATCAAATGGTCCACTGGGACCCACGTCTTCTGGTTGGCTTCTACCGGGTTGTCCGTGAACACCGAGATGCGCTCCACGATCGGGTCTCTGTCGCACGGCGTAGTCGGACACACTTCTTGCACACCTGCAGCCGCATCGTCTGTCCACCTCCCGGATGCTCACAAACCTTCTGGCGCGGCAAAGCGCATAGACGGGGGAGGGCGCGTTGGGGTCGCGAATCTTGGAGAACGTGGAGGCATCGATGGTCACCGCATACAAGCCCAGGATGGAGCCCATCAGATTGCACAGAGTGTCCTTGCCGTTCCGGCCCACACCGCGCGTCCACAGCGTGAGTTCGTAGATCGTCGACGCCCAGTCGTCCTGGGTCCACGCGCGCAGTACCCCCAGTTCCGGGATGAGGTCGCAAAGCTCGTCGAGCTTCAAGTGGATGTCGGCACTCCCGTCCACGGACTTCTAGAGCAAGTTCTGTCGCCGGCCTTCCTCCACGCCTGCTCAAACTTGTTCATGACCGGAGTCTCCCACCAAGCGGGCCAGGAATGCGACCACCCAGTGGAGCGGGTGATCCTCATGGTAGGCCGCACGGGCGTCCACTCCAGCGTTCAAGACCATGCCCTTGAAGTTGAGGAGATGCCGGGTCCCCTCATCATCCAACTCCCCAGTCGGAGCTGTGTACACAGACCTTCACGAAGGACTGGTTGGAGAACTTCCACTGCGACTTGATTTCCTAGTTGGACAGATCTCGCTGGCACACGACCTGGACGATCCACTTGAGCACGTCGGTGGCAGACTTCCCTGTCATGACCCACATCTTCTTTGCCGGGTCGTACCAGCACTTGTGTCCAGTGTCTGAGAGAATATTGAAGATCTCGCGCACTCGGCACGGCATGCTGACGTGGACCGCGGGTGTCCGCATCACAACCTGGGCGAAAATCCCATGATGCGTTGGCGGGGATGTGAATGCCTTCATGACGCAAGCGTGGTGCTCCCGCCAGCGGATGTCCTTGCATTCCAGAGTTCCAGAGTGTGCGTGCCCGCGTCCTTGCAGATCACCGCTTCAGCCGCCTTGAGCGCGCTCTGAACCGAGAGCTGTGGCTTCAGCGTGAAAGCGAACTCTCCCAGCACGGACTTGATCTTGTTGCGCAGCAGGCCCAAATCGCCCTCGAACTCCAAGAAGAGTCCGTCGTGCTCGTAGGCAAGCACAACCTGTGGACCACGTTCACAACCCTGTCAATGAGCTCCCTCTCCTGCGCGGTGTTCAAAACGTAGCAGAGGAGCTCGCGGGGTCCGGCAGTTTCTCAGCCGTTTCAGCACGTCGCGGTTCTTCGAGCAGCCCTCGGCAACCAGAGCTCTCACAGTCCTCTGAAACTCGAGCGCGTAGTCCATCATCGGAAAGGTCGTCATCTTGTGCGCCGTCACCCAATTCTTGATGCTGCCACCGTAGAGGAGCCTCAGGTAGAGCTCTTTCGCTGCAGTCCGGTCGGGGTGCGTCTTTGCCAGCACGGCGTCCCGCTCTACCACGAAATTCTTCAATTAAAGGACCGGATAACCCCACATGCTATGTTTTTCCCAAGGATGTGAGTTCAAATGTCCACACACATGTACCGTGCGCCCCTTGTATGGATGCGATTACAGAGCAGGTCTAGCGCGCTTTTTTCATCGCAGGCGTTGCTAACCTACTGCAGCCCGAGCCGCTAATCAACAAAACAAAGCAAGTTTGAGACATTCTCGAACTTAGTCCATCTTGTTAGATTATTGGCTGCGCCGCACGTGCATCTCAGGAGGTCATCTTGCAGCTCAGCATCGGAGAAGATCTGGACACTTTCCCAAAGAGAAATAGCACTGTGGTATCCGTTGGACGATGAAGTCAAGCTTTTTCAGTCAGATGTCCAGGCTTCTCCGCGGGGAACCTGCAGGGCCTGCCTTCCTGAAAGGTTCCAATGAAGGTGCGCGCTGCGGCTGGAATGTCGACAGAACGCGGACCGCTCCGCCTACATTGTGAACCCATCAGCAGCGCCGAGGGCTTGGCAGGGCAGCCGTGGAGCAGCTTATCCAACTTGAAGAAGATGCCCCATGGCTGGCCTTGGATGTTCAAACTCATGGCTGTGAAACAACAAGGCAGTTGGAGACAACCTCAAGAAGCTTGAGCCGTGCGCAAGTGGTTGTGCTGCAAGCTTGTGGCAGGGCTCATGAACATCGCGGAGACAACTAGCATGCGTTCTGTCACCTCACCCCGCAGACAATTGCGCGAACCTTTTTTGCCTTTCTTGCTGCGCTGACCTTGGCTCGGGCGCAGCTCATGCCGCACTGACTGTCAGTCCCGGCAGCAATGCTTCGTGCGGACGCGCCGCGTCTGTTTTTCGCCAGCTGCGTAATGACGACACTGAACAAGCTCGGTAAACTTCTCAATCCGAGTTGCGTGGCTCAAACTGAAGAATCTCGATGCGTGGCTCAACATGCTATTTGCAGCAGCTAACGGCCAACATATTGCTTCAAGGTTAGCTACTGGCTTTGCCAAGCAGAGCCACGCTTCAAAGGATTCGGACAACATATCACAGCAGCTAGTGTCGAACATTGTTTCATGCCTGCTCTAGCACTGGTCTTGCCAAGCAGAGCTAGTCTTAAAAGGGGTTGGCACGCTGTCTCGCAGCGCGCGCACTCGCTTACCGGGAGTCCACTCACTGGCATAGCTCAGAGCAGCAGCCGCCGTCTGCTTGGAGATGATGTGAGAGTACTCATTCTCCGCGTCGGCTTGCATGATGACCACTTGGTGGACTTCACCTGGCCGTGCTCGGAGGATCCAATTCACTGCAGACGCAGGGCCTGCTGCTCGGATTTTGCTCCGGAAAGGCAAGAGGGTTTCAGCGTCGGGCACTGACAAGCAGCAGTCCACCGAGCGCTTGACTCGCATGGCCGATGCAGATTGCGGGTCTTGCTGCAGAGACTCATCATCTGGCAGCTGGACTTCGTTGAACACGACGAGCGCTCGCACAGACGGAGCGTCGATCTCCTGAATCGTCAAAGAGCCCAAGTCTGTGTCCACGCGTAAGTCGCGCAAAGCAGCAACCGGGCAGCCGCCGCCCAGAGAGCAGCGTGGAAGCTCCAGCAACTTCAGATACGACCGCATCGTTCAGGCAGTACCACTTTTGCCCATGCACCAGGTAAGCCACGTAGTGATCATTTCCATGCCAAACGAAGCCAGTCACTGCATACTGCGCCTGCAACCCAGACACCAAAGCAACACAGAAAGCTTCACCAGCAAGACTATGAACAAATGAAACCAAGCTCAACCTCTCTCACAGACACACAGCAGTAAGAAACCCAACACACGCGCACTGATAAAATGACACACAAACACAAAACCACCGAAATGCACGCGCGCACAAACGCGCAAACAGGTTGGCGAGCGTATGCACACGCGCACACACGCGCGCAAGAACATGATGCTCGAATCCTTGGACAAACAAGCTGCCTTGCCCGGAAAACGTACGTTCACATCGTTCCAGTTCAAGACATCGCCGGGACTTTGCTGCACTCGGAGAATCAGCGCAGACGCGGATGGCCAAAAGTCATCCACAAAGTGCGCTCGCATGAGCTCGCCGATAGTCGTCCCATTTCTCCCAAGCTGGCCGGGAAAACCACTCAACACGTGGATGCCATCCATGTGAGGATAGCTGCCTAGCAGCGTCTAAACTGCAAAAGCAACAATGCGTGGATAAACAGAATGGGTTCCTGCAATTGACAACAAAACCTTTTTGCACTAGCACGCCCCGCCTTGGCGCTCGTCAGGCTCCATAAACAGTCCCGGGCGCAGCCAGTACATCGGCAGACTCGCCCGGCTGAAAGGCAGCGCAGTCAGTGAGAAACAGCTGGTGCAACAAGGCTGCAGGGGAAACGTAGTCCCAGTGTCCGTTCTCTCCTGAAAGCTGCAAAAAAAGACGCTGCATGCACGAAGCCAAAGGGCCTTTGGCCGGCGACTGCCTTGAAACATCTTCACGCAAAGGGCCGCAGCTGTAAAAGCATTGCACTACTGCATTCAAATAATAGCTGCCCAAGTTCCGCAGCTCTTGGCCGCTGGCCAAGCCGGAGGTGTGCCTTGGGCGACTGCCGTAGTCCAGGCGCCAGGACCACGCAGCCATTCAGCATCTGACTGCAGGGCCAAAGCTTCCGTGGCAAAGTGCTCCCGCAGCAATGCTTTCGCAGCGTCCAAGACCCCAGCGAAGCCAGGACTGCTCTCCAGCCTGCGTGCTCGAGTTGCCAGAGCGTTGGTGGCAGGCGTGCCCCGAGCAAAGCCATCGCAGCGCCCTTGCCGCAACCACTGACTAAAGCAGTCCAGCACAGTCCGCAACATGGAGTCGACCATCTTGCTGTCGTGCCCGGCAGACGAAGCGGTGGGATCCACTCCCACAACGTCCTTCTCCGAGTTGGCCGCATCTCTCAATGCTTTCCCCGCCGCCGCAAGGGCAGACAAACCTTCTTGGGCAACGTCCTGCAAGTGCGCCAAGTCGAGCTCAGCCTCTCTCACCAATGCTCGACATGGCCCTCGCACTCGTGAGCCAGCTTTGCACACGCACGCTCGCCATGCGCCTTTGTGGCGTTCGATCGGCATCTTTGGCCAAGCGAACACGTCTCACACAACGATTCTGCCATGCGATCGAACTGCTCAACATTCTTCTGCAAACTTCTGACAACACTTCTGCAATCTTCTGCCAACTTCTGACAAAACTTCTGCAAAATATAAGTTCGTGACCCTGGACACAAAGCTTCTGCGAGCCCAATGTCAACATCCAACAGCTTGCCTCACAATGCACCCTGCCTCATGTACTCACAGCTCTGCACTTACACAAGCCTTGTAGACGACCCTTTAGACATCCGAGAAGTGTGAGTGAGTGTCAGTATGAATGCGAGCGAATGAGTGACAAAATGCTGCCCCTGCTACACAAACACACACCCAGATGCACAGAATGCTGCGCCTGCCACAACTTCGGCAATGGCATCTCCACACCCAGATGCACAGAATGCAGCGCCTGCCACGACTTCGGCAACGGCATCGCCAAAGTGCTGCGCCTGCCACGATTTCGCACGCCCCCCGCCGCGCGCGCGACAACATCCTGTCCCTCTAGACAGCTGCCGAATGCGACCCCTGCCACACAAACACACACCCAGATGCACAGAATGCTGCGCCTGCCACGACTTCGGCAACGGCATCGCTAAAGTGCTGCGCCTGCCACGATTTCGCACGCCCCCCGCCGCGCGCGCGCCAACATCCTGTCCCTCTAGACAGCTGCCGAACGCTACCCCTGCCACACAAACACACACCCAGATGCACAGAATGCTGCGCCTGCCACGACTTCGGCAACGGCATCGCCAAAGTGCTGCGCCTGCCACGATTTCGCACGCCCCCCGCCGCGCGCGCGCCAACATCCTGTCCCTTTAGACAGCCGCAAATTTCTGCCCCTGCCACACAAACACACACCCAGATGCACAGAATGCTGCGGCTGCCACGACTTCGGCAACGGCATCTCCAAAGTGCTGCGCCTGCCACGATTTCGCACGCTCCCCCCGCCCGCGCGCGCGACAACATCCTGTCCCTTTAGACAGCTGCCGAATGCTGCGCCTGCCATGATTTCGCACGCCCCCTGCCGCGCGCGCGACAACATCCTGTCCTTTTAGACAGCTGCCAAATGCTGCCCCTGCCACACAAACACACCCCCAGATGCACAGAATGCTGCGCCTGCCACGACTTCGGCAATGGCGTCGCCAAAGTGCTGCGCCTGCCACGATTTCGCACGCCCCCCGCCGCGCGCACGACAACATCCTGTCCCGTTAGACAGCTGCCGAATGCTGCGCCTGCCACGATTTGGCACGCCCCCCGCCGCGCGCGCGGCCAAAGTGCTGCGCCTGCCACGATTTCGCACGCCCCACGGCATCGCTAAAGTGCTGCGCCTGCCACGATTTCGCACGCCCCCCGCCGCGCGCGCGCCAACATCCTGTCCCTCTAGACAGCTGCCGAATGCTACCCCTGCCACACAAACACACACCCAGATGCACAGAATGCTGCGCCTGCCACGACTTCGTCAACGGCATCGCCAAAGTGCTGCGCCTGCCACGATTTCGCACGCCCCCCGCCGCGCGCGCGCCAACATCCTGTCCCTTTAGACAGCCGCAAATTTCTGCCCCCTGCCACACAAACACACACCCAGATGCACAGAATGCTGCGGCTGCCACGACTTCGGCAATGGCATCTCCAAAGTGCTGCGCCTGCCACGATTTCGCACGCCCCCCGCCGCGCGCGCGACAACATCCTGTCCCTTTAGACAGCTGCCGAATGCTGCGCCTGCCACGATTTCGCACGCCCCCTGCCGCGCGCGCGACAACATCCTGTCCTTTTAGACAGCTGCCAAATGCTGCCCCTGCCACACAAACACACCCCCAGATGCACAGAATGCTGCGCCTGCCACGACTTCGGCAATGGCATCGCCAAAGTGCTGCGCCTGCCACGATTTCGCACGCCCCCCGCCGCGCGCACGACAACATCCTGTCCCGTTAGACAGCTGCCGAATGCTGCGCCTGCCACGATTTCGCACGCCCCCCGCCGCGCGCGCGACAACATCCTGTCCTTTTAGACAGCTGCCAAATGCTGCCCCTGCCACACAAACACACACCCAGATGCACAGAATGCTGCGCCTGCCACGACTTCGGCAACGGCATCGCCAAAGTGCTGCGCCTGCCACGATTTCGCACGCCCCCCGCCGCGCGGACAACATCCTGTCCCGTTAGACAGCTGCCGAACGCTGCGCCTGCCACGATTTCGCACGCCCCCCGCCGCGCGCGCGACAACATCCTGTCCCTTTTAGACAGCTGCCAAACGCTGCACAAACACACACCCAGATGCACAGAATGCTGCGCCTGCCACGACTTTGGCAATGGCATCGCCAAAGTGCTGCGCCTGCCGCGATTTCGCACGCCCCCCGCCGCGCGCGCGACAACATCCTGTCCCGTTAGACAGCTGCCGAACGCTGCGCCTGCCACGATTTCGCACGCCCCCCGCCGCACAACATCCTGTCCTTTTAGACAGCTGCCAAATGCTGCCCCTGCCACACAAACACACACCCAGATGCACAAAATGCTGCGCCTGCCACGACTTCGGCAATGGCATCGCCAAAGTGCTGCGCCTGCCACGATTTCGCACGCCCCCCGCCGCGCGCGCGACAACATCCTGTCTCTTGCGCGACAACATCCAGTCCCTTTACACGGTGTGAGTGAAAGCTGAGTGTGAGTGAGTCAGCGAGTGTGAGTGAGTGAGTGAGCGAGTGGGTGAGTGAGTGAGTGAGTGAATGAGAGTGAGTGAATGAGAGTGAGTGTGAGTGAGTGAGTGTGAGTGAGCGTGAGTGAGTGAGTGAGTGAGTGTGAGTGAGTGTGAGTGAGTGTGAGTGAGTGTGAGTGAGTGTGAGTGAGTGAGTGTGAGTGAGTGAGTGTGAGTGAGCGTGAGTGAGTGTGAGTGAGTGAGTGTGAGCGAGTGTGTAAGTGAGTGAGTGAGAGTGAGTGAGTGAGTGAGTGTGAGTGAGTGTGAGTGAGTGAGTGAGTGAGTGAGTGAGTGAGTGAGTGAGTGAGTGAGTGTGTGAGTGAGTGAGTGAGTGAGAGTGAGTGAGTGAGTGAGTGAGTGAGTGAGTGAGTGAGTGAGTGAGTGAGTGAGTGAGTGAGTGAGTGAGTGAGTGAGTGAGTGAGTGAGTGAGTGAGTGAGTGAGTGAGACAGTGATGAGGAGGGAGGGCGGGAGGAGGAGGAGAAGGAGACGCGGCGCGCGGACGACGAGCGGTAAAAGTAAGAACCCCACACATAGATGTGGGGAAAAATGCGGAATCGTGTCGGGCCGCGATAAGTGAGGGGTGGCAGTTCGCCAGTGGTTGCGCAGCCCCGCTCTGGCCACGTCTCTCAACCATCTCGGCAGCATGAAGGTGGAGGCCGCCATGTGCCCGCTGGCCGCTCCTGGGTTCTTCAAGCGGAGCGCCTTGAACTGATCTTCGTCCGCCCCTCCCTTGCGCCGTCGGCAGCCAGCCGAAGGTTGGGACAGCTGAGACAATCCCGAGACAGGCCTGAGACCTGTCTCAGCAATAACAAGACAGCCAGCCTAAGATTGAGACAAACCAGGAACAGTCTCAGGTGTCTCAATCTTAGGCTGGCTGTCTTGTTATTGCTGGGACAGGTCTGAGACACGTTTGAGACATTTCTGTTCGTGTGCAGTGTCTCAGGTGTGTCAGGTGTCTCACCCCTCGTCCCAGCTGTCTCAGCCCTCTCAGCCTTTGGCTGGATGTGGTCTGCCTAAACTAAGGGCCGTTGGGCAAGTCAGTACTAAGGGCCGTTGGGCGAACTCGTACTACGCGTTGGGCAAGTCAGTACTATGGGCGAACTCGTACTAAGGGCCGTTGGGCAAGTCAGTACTAAGGGCCGCCGTTGGGCGAACTTGTACTGAGGTCCGTTGGGCGAACTCGTACTAAGGGCCGTGGGAATCCGTACTATCCTACGTGCCCGCTCGGCGCCGTGCCCGCTCGGCACCGTGCCCGCTCGGCACTCCTAACCTAAAGTGCCGCTCGGCACTGCCTACTCCCCTAGAGCGCCCGCTCGGCACGTTTACCTAAGTGCCCGCTCGGCACTGTGCCCGCTCGGCACGCCTAAGTGCCAGCTCGGCACTCCAAAGTGCCAGCTCGGCACTAAAAAAACGAGAAAAAAAAAGCCGCGGGCCCGAGCGATTTTTCCTCCAGCGGGTCGATGCCGGTTGCGGCGCTCACTGTCCTGCGAGGGATCAAGCGCGACGGTTCGGAAGGAAAAGGAAAAAGGGTCCTTTGCGCCGCTTCGGCGCAAAAAGATGAAGAGCCTTGACACGAAAGCGAGGCCGAACGATTTCAACGGACGACGGATGAGCCTTCAGACGCTCCAGCTCCTCGCGGAGCGCGCGAGCGTCGGCCTGGCGGGCGCAACGGGGGCGGGAAACGAAAAGACGCCCGGTAGCGGGCCTGGAAGCCCTGGGTCCACTGTTTCTCGCCGCGGAGCTCCGTCTCGAGAACGGATTAAAGTGCCCTACCGAGCCAAGTGCCCTACTCAAGCTAAGATTAAAGCGCCCTACCCTACCGAAGTGCCCTACCCGAGCTATGATTAAAGTGCCCTACCCGAGCTATGATTAAAGCGCCCTACCCGAGCTATGATTAAAGCGCCCTACCCGAGCTATGATTTTTTTGTGCCCCTGCCAGAGCCAAGCCAGTGGTCTGCTGCTGCTGTTGCGTCCGGGCCGATGCGCTGCGATGAAGACATACTTCAACCTTCAAAGTTCTCATTTGACTGTTTGCCCTCAAGATCTGCACCAGTGTCGATCACACCGAAAGGCCCCTAGCAAGCAAACTCAAGCCAAAAAAAATCAACGTGACGTCCGTGCAAAATCGCAGCCGCGAGAACAAAGCATCTCCACACCCCCAGCATCCCCCAGCAGAGGCGTCCCGAGCGACAAAACACCGTCCCGCGCGGAACACCGTGGAAAAAAAAACACGCGAAAACCATGCAAAATCATGTCATGTCAAAACCATGCAAAAAATCATGTCATGCCATGCAAAAACCGTGCAAAACGAGCTATTACTCCGGTCCGTTTAGGGAGAATGCGCGCGGCCGGAAACAAAAATGGACCAGTAGTAAGGAAAGGCAGCTTATACTACCCTAATTACTTAGGGGCCCAACGACCGGCTGCAGGCCGACCTGATCGACTTCAGCCAGAACACCAAGGGGAAGACCAAGTACGGCCTCGTGGTCATGGACGTCTTCACCAGGGAGGCGGCCGTGGAGTCGCTGCAGAGAAGAGCGCCGCAAGCGGGCCACCCGGGAGCTGGTGGGCGAGGAGCGCAACTTCGTGGTCACCACGGACCTGGGCAACGAGCTCGCCTCCCTGGACCGGGAGCTGCCCGAGGAGGCCGTGCGGCCCGAGGACCGCAACGCCACGGCCGTGATCGACCGGGGCATCCAGACCCTGAAGAAGGACCTGGCCAGGCGAGTGGCCCCGCAAGACTTCGAGCAGGCCGCCGGGGCCTACAACGCCCGGCCGCGCGAGACGGTCTACGGGGCCCTAGAGGACGTGGAGCGGCAGCCGGCCACCGAGTTCCGGCTGCTGCAAGACAACGCGGACAAGTTCCAACAAAACAAGGATCTGACCGACCGCCGCATCAAGGCCATAGAGGACGCGGGGGCCTTCAGGGCTCCCACCAACGCCGCCCGGAGCTTCAACCCCCAGTACGGGGACGTGCAGCGGCTGCAGGCCGTGGACTCCATGACGGTCCGCAGCACCGAGAGGCGGGAGACCCTGCTGAAGCTGGCCCTGCCGGCGCCCCAGGGCAGCGGCAACGCCGCGGGCAGGCTGACGAGGCGCGGCCGGCCCGCTGCGGCAAGGCAGCTGGAAGACTTCTTGGGGCAGCCCAGGAGGCCGGGCCAGCACAAGGCAAAAAAACATGTCTTAGCATATTGATGGGCTTTGGGGCCAAATCGCATGTAGCCAATTCCACATTTTCATGCGTTTGATTCGTCACTCACCGGCTGCCCTCAAAATGCAAGCATTGAGAAAAGGAAACAAAAGGTCTCAACAGCCCCCTAAATCGTTCCATGGCCTTCCTCGGTTCCCCAATCTGCTCGTTCTGCACCCAGAAACTTTTTTCCTCATGCTCCGCAATTCTTTGAGCCCCGAGATCCAATTCTAGGCCAGGAAATGGCACAGCAGCAACAATTCAGCCTTCAAGGTTTGGCCGCCCTGGTTTGATAGAAGGCTCTACCAGCGTAGAAGCCAAAGTACTCCTGGTACTGCGCTTCAGATACGAAGATCAAGCGCTGTCCGCCGGTTTGTGGCTCAGTCTCTGTCCTTGTCAGCAAAAGCACCAGGATGTCAGCTTTGTCGCATGCTTTGTCAAGCTCGATCTCCACTTCTAATCGAGACTCGCCCTTCTTGCATTGCAAACATTCAGAGATGGTGTGATTGTTGCCCCCTGCCCCCACCTCTTCCAACATGAGAAAGGCATCAGCAGCTGGAGCTCCGGCAGCATTCACGACCAAAACACGTTTGTCAGTCAACGTCACTGTAAGGCTTTGGTTTGTCATTTCAACTACGCACTGGTGCATTCCCAGTCCCTTAGGTAAATTTGTCCGAGCTTTGGGATTGCCGCAGCATGAGGACCTCGACAACAATTGCTTCCTGGATTTGGCAAATTGCAGATGCCGGTTGATGACCTTGGTGCTTTTCAAGCTGTCAGGCTGGATCACTGCACCCCTGTGTAGATCGGCAATGTCAACTAGTTGTCCATCCTCAAACGCAGAAGCTCGCAACACTCGAAACCTGGCATTGAATTCTTCCCACTGTTGCCAGGTTGGTTCTGACTCAAACAAGCGGTAGTCCATCAAGTTCCACGGTTGCAAATCGTCAGAGAACTTAGACAAACTCAGCATCAAGTACAACCAAATGTAGGGCAAGTCGATGCGGTACAAGCACTGGGAGGGGTCGCCGTCCTTGAACTTAACGCGAATAAGCTCCACCTTCTCAGGATCTAGATTGCCGACCGTGTCTCCAGACCAAATCCATCTGCCTGAAACAGCTGCGCGAAGCAGTTCCTTGAGGTCTGCCTCCGGCTCAAGCTGAATGGCGTCGGGATATTTCTGCCTCAATTGTCTCATAACTGCACCCACCAAGGCAGTTGCTGCAGCGTTGGGCATCTCCATCAAGGCCTCTAGAAGGCACTCCAAAGCTCTGCCATGCCCGCCCATGTCTTCGATCAGAAGGTCTTTTAGGCGGTGGCCGGGCAGCACCGGCTGTTTGTTGCGGGTTACGGCGGTCACGCGTGGCAGCTCCAGAAAAACTCGGGCCTGGGGACTGCCAGCAAGTCCACTCTTCACATTTTGCAAAGCGGCCACACAGGCTACGACAAAGGGGCCTTCCTTTTGGTTGACGAGGCGGCAGACCTCCTGCATCACCTGATAGAATGGCAGGTCCTTGCCCACAGCATCACTGCGGTCAGTAAATCCAGGCAGACCTTGCATCCCGTCGACTCCGATCACCACCGTGCAATGATTGAGCTCATCACACAGCACAGCTGCAAAGACATCCTCTGCAACAAGGCTATCGGAGCATTCGACGCGGAATTCGGCGAAGTCTGCTGGAGCGCCGACCTCCCGAAAAGCCTCCTTGTTTGCATTCCTCAGCTGCCACAGCATGCGGCATGCCACAAAGCGTCGGGCATTGAGCTCCTCCGTGGCCCAGTCCCCGGGAGAGAGGGCGTTCTCGCAGCTGATCATGAAGCTCGTCGTTTGCTTGCTGAATTTCAGTTTCTGCCTTTCAGACACATTCTGCAAGCACTGCTCGACCAGGCCCGGGAACTCTGTCAGCAACCGGGACTTGCCTTGCCCTGGGCCTGCAAATGCAATGAACAAAGGATGAAGCTGTTTGTCACTGTTCTTCCCCTTTTGCTCGTGCAGCTTCTGGATGGGGATCTGCATGCGCTCACGGAGCTCCTCCTTCCCACAATAGTCCCATGTGGCCCCAACTGTTGCAAGCAGTTGGTCGGCTGCTCCAAACTTCAACTTCTTCGCGAGCAACTTCTCGCACCAACTGCTCCGTGCCTGTCTCCAAAATCGGGTGCGGAGGAGTGTAAGGACATCAGCAATTGTTGGATTTATCGAGTCGGGTGGCTCCGCCTCAGCAAAAGAATTTCAAATCAGGCAGATATGAGCAGGTACATCTAAAATTGAACAATAGAAGGGGATGGAATGGCAGCACAACGGGCCAAACCATCGAACAGGAACTCTGCCCGTGGATGCAAAGCCGGGAATGTATGGTTGAACTCACTGCATCAAAGAGAACATTCACAGAATGCACTTGGGCCTTCAGCAGCCAGGACCCCAATGGGTGCAGAGACATAAAGACATCAGAGTTTGCCCTCCCTCTCCCCGACGGCAGAAGGGCAGGTCTTGCTCTTTGAAAAGCAAGCTGAAGGCAATGACAAAATCACTCACAAGGATCAACGGCACGTCTCAATCAATGTTGACCGGCAGGAATGACCGACATCCCCGAATGGCAAGGAATGGCAACCATCCGTTCATGGGGGGCTCCATACCGAGCCTGCCAACGACACGAACCGCCGCAATCTGCACAAATGCTATCTTGGGATTTCCTGTTTCTGTGGGTGTTGATCAGGGCAGCCCCACCAAAACCATGTGCGGGCCGCGCGGGGAATTTCAGAACCGCACGCAACGATCAGAGTCCCAGAACGCAGCCGGCCGGCGGAAGCGACCGACTCCGCCCGCCTCGGACTCCTTCGTCCGGCCGCTTGCCTTCGCCTCCTTGACCTCCTTCTCCGCCTTCTCCACCTCCTTCTTCGCCCTCTCCACCTTCCTCTCCGCCCTCTCCACCTTCCTCTCCGCCTCCTGCACCTTCCTCTCCGCCTTCTCCACCTCCTCCTTGGCCTCCTGCACCTCCTCCTTGGCCTCCTGCACCTTTGTCGCATTGCCCGAGTCCTCCGCCGTCTCCAAGACGGTGGCAGCTCGAGCGAGACGCCTCACCGCCATCGCTTCCTGCTCCTGGGCGCTCTCAACCTGCCGCTGGGCGCTCTCAACCTGCCGCTGGGCGCTCTCAACCTGCCGCTGGCCCGTCTTCCGCTGCTGTCGCGCCAGGAGCAGGTCCTGCCCAGGCCGACTCCCACGCCGAGCGCTCGAACGCGCTCGAACGGACGGCCTCCTCCAATGCCGTTTTGGCTGCTTTGGCCTGAAAAGCACCCACAACAAACGTGCATTTTGAAAATGTCACGAAAGCGCTTCTGAATCTGACCTGTTGGTAAAGGAAGCAAACACTGCTGCCTCTGCCACAAACTTCCATAGCTGCTTCTCCAATTCGGGCTCATTAACCCAAACCTTCCACTTCCCTGCTGGATCTACCAGCTGCACTCTTCCTGAGCTCAACCGCGCCTGCAAATCCACAACGAACGTATTGACGTGCTGCTAAAGCGGCGCATGACCACTTGCATGTCTTTCAGCGTGCCGTTGTCCACAACCCGTTTGGCTTCTGCGACCACCTGAGCGAGACAAGGCTGGGACGTCGCTTTCTCTGAAGGCCCGCCGCCTCCTCGAGATCGAGCCGGTCCTGACAACCAACAAGCCCAACGTTCAAGCCCGATGCACGTGTCCCCCAGGCCTGGCCACTGTTGTCCTGGCGGCAACCGGCAAAAGATGCGAACAGGCTTCGGGTCGGAGGAGTCCTCTTGCGCAGCCCCGGCGCGCCGAGCGACTCCGGCATGCAACGGGTGCCGTTTTGCCTGAAAGAGCCAAAGTGCAATCTGCTTGCGCCTGCGGGCAACTCTGAGAACTGGGCCAATATGCTGTCCTGGCACTCAGCACGAAACAAGAACATCCAAAGGAGGGACATCATGCTCCTTCAGCCCAGGAACTCCTCGAGCAAAGTCCTGGGCGGCGGCGACAAGGGACTCCTGAAACCCGAAAACCTTCCAAAAAAAAAAGGTGTCCCAAGACCCAGGCCGTGCTCGGCTGCACGAGCAGCGCCAATGCAATCCCGAGAAGGCAGAGGCACATACCTGGCCGCTGCCTACCGCGGGCACGGTAGCGTCACAAGCTTGCCAGCCTCGGCTTTTGGTCCTGGTCCGCATCATCGCCATGGCTATTCGAAAAGCGCTTGAGCGGCCTGCGATTCCTCAAGCACTGGCACTAGACCCATCGGGCAACCATTGCGAGCTGTTGTTGTGTCAGTGTTGATGAGTACCCTCGAGCCAAGTTTCCAGAGCAAACACAAGATTGACTGGCTTCTTTGGCAACACCAACGCACGGGTTTGGATGCTCCTCCTCCTTTTCACTCGCGGCCTGAAGGTCGGTCGGGCCAAGCCTTGCAAGGCTTCGCAGCGTCCATCCGTCAGACTGGCTCACCCACATCCTGCCGCTGCATCAAAGTCCAAGCGAGATACCAAACTGGCCTGCCTGCAAAACAAGCAGCCGAAATCGGCACCGGGCCGCCAGGGGCTGAAGGGCGGGGGTTTCTGGGGTCCCTGGTCCCTGCAATCACTGGGGCCTCTGGGGTCCCTGGGTCCCTCCTAAGGTCCCTAGGGTCCCTAGAGTCCCTGGGGTCCCTGCACACGTGTGCATCAGACGTCTCGCCAAGGCCCCAGAGTGCGCTCATCCCTGTCAACGCACGGCGGGTTCAGGGACCTTGGGGACCTTAGGGACCTTAGGGACCTTAGGGACCTTAAGGGACCTTAGGGACCCTAGCAACCCTGCAAACCCTACCCTAGGGACCCTAGGGACTCCGAGGACTTCAGGGACCCAGCGACCCAGGGACTTCAAGAGATCCTTGGTGGCCCCAAGGATTTTGGGGCTTGAAGGGATCTTGGCAAGAACTTCACGCCGGGTACCACTCAGCCTGGGCATTCTCCAGCATCAAAGGGTCATGCAAAAACACAAAATGCCGAAGCCAAGACACACACACACACACACATTGCAAATGGGCCACAACACCACAACATCATCTCCCAACTACAAACACGGATGTAGAAAACACCATGTAGAGACATACCAACATAAAGGCACAAAGACATAAAGATATAAAGATATAAAGAGAAAGGTATAAAGATACAAAGATATAAAGATATGAATTTGTAGAAATACAAAGATATAAATATATGAAAATTCATAAAGAGATACAAATACGTAGAGATATGAAGATAAAAATGTATGAAAATAAATATGAGTACACGAAGATAAATAGATGTATGGCAAGTTGCTCGAATGGAAAAACAACAGAAGCTTTGCCCTTCCGCGCGTCTTTGTGGCAAGCTGCAACCAACCGAAGCTTGAGAGATGACTTCACACTTCACGGGATCTCTTGCCCCCAAGACCCAGGGTTGCTGGGGTCCCTAAGGTCCCTGGGGTCCCTAAGGTCCCTTAGGGTCCCTGAGGTCCCTAGGGTCCGTAAGGTTTCTGGGGTCCCTAAAATCCCTGAAAACGCCGTGTGTTGACAAGGATGGATGCACTTTGGGACCCTGGCGAGACGTCTTGATGGAAGGACGTTGTTTCATGGCACCCGCGTGCCCAGGGACCCAGGGACCCCAGGGACCCTAGGGACCCCAGGGACCCTCACTGGGTCAAAGATCAAGGGGGCTGACAGATTGGTGACAAAGATCAAATGACAATAACCTGCACGGGACCTCTTGGCCATGACAATGGAACGCGGCGAGGGCCCGGGCGGAACGTGGAGCTCGAGGCGCAAGCTCAAAAGTTCGGAGTGCCTGAGCGCCAGGAAAAAAAAGGCGATTTTGAGGAAACCACACTGCCTGACTTACAAAAAACCTGACAGTACGACTTGACGGGGTTGGGGCAATCGCTCTCAAGGTCAAGGGTTCACCAGGTTGGAGAGACAATACAAAATGCGGGCCTGGCTCAACGAGGTCACGATTTCCAAAGATACACGGGCCTGACGGCGCGGCTTGACGGGGTTGGGAAAAGCACACAAAAAAGCAACGCAAACCACTTGGGCCTCACCGGGTCAAAGAGATCAAGGTTGGGCCCAACCCTGAAAGCTCAGTTGAAATCCGCGCATCAACACTGACGGCACAATCAGCAAAAAGGCCCAGGCAGAACGTCTTCGAAGTCGCGCAAATCCTGGCACGGGACGGGGGGGGGTGTCCGGGCCTCGCTAGGCCAAAGATCAGGGGGCCTGACAGATTGGCGAGTTGGGACCCAAACCTCAAAGATCAGTTGGCATTGATGGCCATGACAACGGAAGCAGCGAAGGCCCGGGCAGTATGCCGCGATGTCAAAACAAAGCCTGGCACGGGGAAGCGCGAAAACACGACCTTCAAAATCCAGGACCAAACCTGAAACACTGCTCAAAGGCCGAGTTGACACCAATCCGCACAGGTGCCCAGCCAAAGAGTCCCCAGTAGCACGAATTGGATCCACCTGCAAGCGGCCAACAAAAAGTGACAAAAAGGCAACTCGCGGCGCTGCGAGAAGATCTGCACGTCGAAGTCTGGGCACAGGGCACGTGAGGTCAAGAAAAACTGTGAGTCTGAAACCACGCCTTTGCACCCGCGAGCGGTTCCCTGCCGCCCCGTACCCCAGAGTGTCCCCGAATCTCGCCTTCACAAGGCTCATGTGCTTGGGGAAGCTCTTTCCAAACACGACCGACAACGTGAAAATCGTGAGAAAAACGCAACACCGGCAACCTGTCATGCAAAATCACGCTCAAAAACCATGCAAAACTGAATTTACGGAAAAACAAACAAAAACGTGTTTTTTCCGGAAATGGCGGCCCTCGAGCCGCTTGAGCCAGGGCCGTCCCTTTGGTCGGACCATTTTGTTGTCCGCCCTATAGGAAAAGGACCGGCAAGCAAAAGTCCCGATGACTACCATCGCCACTAGCTTCGCCCTGGGCGAGGTGCAGACGAGCCCCAAGGGCGCCATCGTCTGGCAGTCCGCGTGGACTCACGTCCTCTGGGAGCCCAGCAGCTTCGGCGAGGACCAAGGACCCAGGCAGAACGCCTGCCTTGCGATGGAAAGGGATTCCGAGGCCTGGGCGGCCTGGGAGGAATTCGAGAAGCTGTCTTCGCGGTCGAGCCGCATTTGGGGCGACTACGGCGATGTGAAGGACAGGTGGCAGAGCTGCCTCAAGGAGTCCCGACAGGGAACGACCTTCCTGAAGTGCAAACTGGACGCGCGGAACGAGGCTGGCGGGCTGCGTGCCAGGCCCGCGTCGAGGCCTGGCAGGTCTGGATCATGGGCAAGCAATGTGGCCTGGTGGAGGTCCGCGACCTGCAGGTGAACCCCGGCACGGGCGGGGACTCTTGCCCCTTCTAAAACTGCGTTCTGTTTATCGTGGATGTCAGACGTAAGCGAACGCGCCCGTAACTGACCCCGGCGGCCTCGAGAGAACAGCGAGGCCCCGGGGCACCCAGGGACTTAGGGGGCCTAGCGGACTTGGGGGGCCGGTTCGGCAGCAGGCTCAGCTCCTCAGCTCGTGCTGGTTGCGCAGCCTCCAGCAGCAGAGGAATTGCATGTTCACACGGCAGCGCTGATGAGCCTCAGCTTCTGGAGCTCACCCAGGTGCTAATCTGCATGCGACGGCCTCGGATGAAGAGCATGTCAAGGGCGCCGTGCGGCTTGTGGAGCTGCGGCGTGTCAGCAAAGTCGTCCCACTCGTCCCAGTAAGCCTGCTCACGCTCCGTGTTCACCCCCAGGTCCTGCTCGATGTACTTCTTGACGGGGATCCAGCCATCATCGATGTTGACGCTTGGGCTGAAAACGTAGATCCGCTCAAACACGCCCTTGTACTGCTCCAGGATGAGGCTGATGAGCGCCACGGTCTTGCCCGACTTGCTGGGCCCGAGGAAGATGCCCGCGCGTGGCACCAGGGGCACCACGGGGTCCGAGGCTTGCTTGCTGGTGTACTCAGGCGTGGGGAAAAGCTTAGCCACGTAGCTCAAGGGGCGCCTCCTCGCGGAGTGGCTGGGGACATGGAGCAACATGTTGCAGAGCCTGAGCATGCTATTTCCAATCACCATGTAGCTACCTCACCTTTGCTCCACACCAGCACTACACCGCATCATTTGGCCGGACCTGGCCATGACTTTTCTCTGGTACCCACACCTTTGCTTTGCCTGCCTTTCGAAGATTACATTGTGCCCAATGTTGAGGTGCACAAGATTCCAGTTTTTGATTTGGCACGCAGTTCTTATGATGTCACTTTGCCTGCGGCCAAGAGACGGTGTGCGGGAATTGAGCGAGTCTACTTCGACTCCTCGATGATCATTGAGGTCATGGGCGTGGCTACGGAAGACCACCTTTTTCCTTGTTTCGACATCCGTGCGCTACACCGGAAGGATCTCCGACAGATCGTGGTTCCGGCAGAACATTTCTTGCTACTGAGGATTTTTCGATGCGCGTTGAAAACAGGCCGTTTGATCAACTTGCAAGGCATGTTTTACAGACATGACATTGAGGACCATGTGACTGTTTGGAGCAGACTTCAGGCCAATGTGGAATCTCGACCCCTGCTCATTACAGACAATGACAAACATGGACTGAATTTTTATGTGCCTTTCTGTGGTGGAATCTCGGGTTGGACCTTGGCCGTACAACATCTTGCTCAACACGGATATCCGGTCAGGATCTCAGCTGCTGCTGATTTGGACAGTAAAGCGGCATTGTCGTATTCCAGGACCCATGGTGTTAAGATGCTCTCAGGTGCCCCTTCGGTATCGGACCTTGATGCACCTTTCGTCGCAGTTTGTGATGCGGCTGATACCGACCTCTGGAGGGGGATTTCCTTGCTCAATTGTAACGCCATGACCTTAAGTTGGCCCTGCCAGTCCTTCTCTGGTGCAGGGAGTCAGTCGGGCTGGAAATCTTTTGTGGGTCAAACCTTTCAGGATGTGTTGGCAAAAGCTTCACAAATGCGGATCGGGGTGATCACTGCTGAGAACGTTGCCCCAGTTTGGGAGAACGAGGATTTCAGGCAAGGCATGATGACCCGAATCGAAAAGGCTGGTTACATCTTGATCTTCGCGAGGGTCCTTCCTTTGCAACACGTCACCCCAGTCAGTCGAAGACGCTTCCTTGCGGTCATGACTCATTCCTCCTTCCATGATGTACATCCGATTGACTTAGCCAAGTCAGTTGCTGCAGCATACTTTGGAAAGCCACGCAGTTTGGTTCAGGACGACGCCTGGTTTGCTTCGCTCCCAGGGGATTTGTTGCAGAATACATACTTGTCGCCAGAGCTGCTTTCGGTGTACTCCAATCCGGATTTTGCACCAGGACGACCATGCACGCCCCAGGTTGCAATATCCAACAGGAAGATAAAGCCGTCGGAACCTTTGCCTGCTACTGTTGTCATGTGCATGTACTCCAGACAACACACAATCAAAATCTCCACATTGTCGGAGAAGAAGTTGCTTGGTGCTTTGAGGGAAGAAAACGGACGCTTCAGATTTCTTACAGCGCTTGAGATCCTGGTCAGTTTGGGCACGACGCAGCCCATCACCCTGGCCAAGAATCTTCAGGACGGATGCAGCATTGTTGGAAATAGCATCGCGGAAGTGCATGCTTATGCACCTTTGTGGATTGCTCTGCAAGCGAAAGATTTGTTGAAAATTGGTTGTTTGAAATCCTTCGAACACCTCATCCAATGTTTTCAGATCAGCAGACTCCGTGCGATTCCACAGATTGTGCAGGTTACTCAGGACCTCATCCGATTTG